TCAGTGTTTCTAATTTTGTAACTTAAGTTTACGCTAATTATTAGAATTCTCCCACAATGACCAGACATATTTATCTCATCAGAATGTCTGTTTTGCAGCTTTTGTGTTGCTGCCTATTTATATAGAGTTTGGTATGATTCCTTAAAGATTATCCAATTATCTAATCATTTTGACCTTAGATTTTCTTGGCATTTTTATTAGTTCCTTAGTGGTAATATTCAGCTTTCCAAAACTGAATTTTTCTTCCACATTGTAAAAAAGGAGGCTATTGAATTCTAGTACATTTTTACAATTAAGCAATCAGTAACACTATCTGCTATGATTAAGATTAAGCAGACCCAATCTAAATGTAATAGACTCATCATTAGTCATTAATCTCAGAGTTTTTAATTAAACTACTAAAATGAGTTATCTGAATTCATGGGCAAGAGATACAATTTTTTAAACAACTGTACTGAAATATTTATCACCATGCTTAACTATAAAAATGTGTAGTACCTTAAAAGTATGTCTTTAGGTATCATATTCCTGCTATCCCTGGAATGAAGTGACTCTCCAAATCACATAATTAGACACATTTCTACTGCCAGTTAAATTTCTTAGAAAGAAGAAGTATTTTAAAGTAAAACTTAGTCCACAGAACAGCTTTAAAGTAGGGAGGACAAGGATATGTTTAACAACTCATCTCACAAAACCAGTTTAAAGCTAAAAAATAAAAAGCTTTTATAAGCTTTAGCAAGTCAAAAGCACATTTCCATGAATCTCTGGTGCCCAATCAATAAAAGAAAGGAGACAAGAGGGCCTCCCTGGTGGCACAGGTGGTTGAGCACAGCGCTGTGAGGCTGTTCACAGCCTCTGCAGTGCCGGTTCTATCCCCACCAGCCTCGAAGCAACCCACATGGCCACATGGATGGCCACATGGCGAGCAGACCTCTCCTGTCTCTCCCGCTGCTTCCCTCAGCAGTGTTTTTCAGTCAGTCTGCCTGTTCTGTTCCCCTGCTCTGTCTCTGATGAATCCTCTCACCCTCCCAAACATCTGGCCTGTACCCCAGTTCTTACATAAGTAAATAAATCTTTAAGAAAATCATTTTTTTTAAAGAAAGGAGACAAGAGAAGACTGTTATTAATCACGCAGTAAAATAAATAAATAAATTTAAATAAGCAAATAAATAATGCGATATCTACAAAGTTGAATCCTCCTTAGTTTCCCCTTTGGATTCATGGCCCTCCAACCTCCCCAAGGGGAAAAGCAATTATGATAAAGAGTATTTTGAAGTATTTCTGCCATCTCTACTAACTCAGAACCCATGTCTTTTCTTTTTCCAAAGTACTACTTAAAATTCACCTCCTGCAAGTAATTTCCATAGACCAAGTCCATCATTTTATTATCTTCTTAATAAACAGAAAATTCTCAATTTTCTTCTCAGATGAAGCATCAGTATTTCTCAAAACACAATGTTGTTTTGTGGGCAATGGACTGAAAACCTCTTTTTTATTCAAGATAAAATTGAAATTAGTTTGTAACCCTTTAATTTTTATTAACCGGTAATTCAAAGGCGGACATTGACATGTGACTGTGGGTCCAATAGTAGTGGTAGATAGCAATTTAGCGTGGCTGTAAATATTTACCAAAAGTACTAGTAGTGAAGCTCTTTTAAGCTATAAATCTTTTCCTTTAGCTATAACTTCATAGTCCATTCTCAATTATCTATGTCAGCAGAGGGAGCAAGACAGTGAACAAAACTGAACTTCTCCAACAATCCTACTTTTTTTTTTTTTTTTTTTTTTTTTGTGGGACCCTCACCAGTGACTGGGGAACTGGGGAACGAACCTGCGCTGCAGAGGCTGCGGGCAGCTTCCCAACCCAGCGCTCAACCACTGCACCAGCAGGGGAAGTGCTCAACCGCTGTGCCACCAGGGGAGGCCCAATCCTACTTGCTTTTATACCAGTTATCAATCAATTCAAACTAAATGAAGGTCTGTGAAGGTAAGGCTAAGGTCAGGGAAAGTGGTCCATGTCTGACGGTTACCTTCTTCCGTATTCACCTTCTTTGAAAACTTCCTAAAGCGTTTGTATTCAAAAGTCACCCTTAAGAAAATACAGCTGTATCCAGAAAGTAAACCAGGAAGTAAAATAACTTTAGAGTACATAGCTCTATTAGAGAACTTCAGAATACTAATTATGCTAACAGTGATGTTCCTGATTTTTTTCTAAATCACTGCTTTTAACACCTTTGTCCTTTTTCTTGAGGGAAAAAAAAGTGTGTCAACTTGTAATGTTATTATATTTTCCTTACTTAATGGGTTATGCAAGTATGACTCAGGAAAGCTATAAAACTAGCCTAAGATGGCACAGCCAAAAGGGGTGGAGCTTGACACACCCCCGCACCCCCAGGAAGTTAACCCTCGATGCCCTGCTGTAAACTACGTTAACATTTGTGGGGGAAAAACCTGACTCCTCATGCAATTTCTACCATTACTGCAATAATAACATTTTGTTTGGAGATGAGTTCAATTTTATTCCCTAATATCCATTAACTAGTAATGCATCCTTGCTACGCTTTTCTTCCAGCTCAAGGATATCCCAGCTTTGGAGTTTGGTGACCTTCTGATGCTCCCAACCTTTCAAACCTTGATATGATATTGGGATTGATATGAGAAATGATGGAGCCAGCACACAAAGCAACTTTGTATACCTTAATAACTTTTTTCTTCAGAAACAAAGATATTTCTTAGCTGCTTCATGGAAACCTGAGGTTCTGTAAGTAGCATATAGGGAATATTAAATCACTATTATAGTGGGTTGTCACCATCACCTTCTGTTCTTTTCACAATCTATCAAGTGAATGTGTGTACACTGTTTCATGCCAATATTTTTTTTTAATTACTTGTCTCTCCATGTATTTGAGACTAAGGCAGTGGTCATGATCTCTGGACAACAGTTTTAATGAATTTATTCAAGGAAAGCAAATCTGCATTCAAATTTGAAAGAAAACTGAGTCTGCATTCAAATTTGATAGAAAACTGAGCTTTCATAATTCATTCTGATTATTCAAACAAAAATGAACCTTAGTAAGTCAAGAGGATCAACTGAGACATCTATGCTTGAATATGTTGCTCTAGGCTTAATGTATTTTTTCTCACTGCATTATATTTTAATGATTAATTTCACGCTCTTTCATGGTAGTCTAGCTCATGAATCATGGGTATTACTTTGAGGGGAAAAGTAAGGTACTGTGTGTGATGAAAAATGTTACTGATTAAAGTGTGTTGCATATATGAGCTACATACATAAAATGCTGGAAAAGTTTGAATACCATTAAACCAGTATTCTAGATTATAAGTAATATCAGGCACACTGGTCACAGAGACTAAAGTTAGATTGAGTTGAGTAAGTGTGAGGGCTTAGACTTCTTCAGGAGTCTTGGCTGAAACAAGTAGGAAAGTAAGTTTCACTGGCATCTTTTTCCTTAATGTAAAGTTGTATGGAGCAGATTCAAAGACAATAGCAACAGAGTTACAGGGAAAGAAATCAGTGAAACAGATAACATACTATTTTGAAATTCAAAAGTCAAAAGTCACTCACCCAAACTCTTATCCCTGAAATCAGTATTGCCAGAAGACACTAACAAATTGGGTATTTGTCTTAGAAATTTTTTTGTGTGTGTTTTTGTTGTTGTTTTTGTTGTTGTTGTTGTTGTTTTTTTTTTTTTTTCAGCTTTTGGTTAAGGCAATATCATCAGGACCAAAAAGCAGTTTGATATCACATATATCTGACCCTGTACACACATGAATATATAGTGGGTTAAATACATTATACTGGTTAATATGATAGTATCAACTATCCACAAGAAAACCACAAGTAAATTAGCTACAGATGCCCACATAATATACTTTGGCGCTTGCTGGTAAAATGGATTTTTTAAAACAATGCATGCAGTATGGAGAAAACACTCTGACCATCCCCCGAACAAACACAAAGTACCTTCTATAGCTGACAGAGTCAAAATGTGGCAAAAGCAACTATTCTGCAAACAGGTGGTTATAAACTTACTTCAGCCACAGAAAGGGCTGAGGGAAAGAAAATTTTGTTAGCTCTGAAGAAAATATACAAGCATGTGCATATACACACTCTGCCAGAGTAGGAGTCTCAAAAAAAAAAAAAAAAAAAAGAGCTCAAACGAAACCAAAAACTACAAAGCAGTTTATCTTAGCTCAGAAGTGCTGACACTGGGCTCCGTTGCCAAAAATCAATGGCCAATTAAGTCATTCTTATCTCCGACATAAAAGTCCCAAGGATAACTCCAAAAGGAAATGGCCATATCACTTCAGGTAGGGTCTTATTCACAGGAAGATGCCAATTTTACTAGAGGGAATCTAAAAATGTTGCAAGCAAAGAAAATAGTTTATGTTTTCCGATGTCACTGCAGAGTTCACGTTCTCAATACTTAGTTTCATTTTTCCCTATGTTCAATTATTTCATAAGATAAACACGGATTGCAAAAGCTGGCGCTCGGATCTGTATTTCCATACCGCACCTTTGCAAATATTCAGGATTCCGCTCCTAGGAGGCAGGCACAGCAGACAGGTGTCCAGAAACTCACCAGGCAGGGGCGGGGGTTGGGGAAGGGAGTTGTGGGGTGGAGTGGGCTTATGTGGGGTGTGGTGGAGTTCGGGGGCTCCTATCCTCCAGAGTCCCCCTCTCTCCAAGTCTGCTACTTCTTCAGTCACTGCAGTCCAGGACCTGACAAGACAAGTCCTCAATCTCCCCCAGAAGTAAACAGCCAGGTCCCGACCCAAAGTGCACACCCTCCTGACCCGGGACTCCTGCCCGGGGCTCTAGCTCCCCGCTCCTCCGACTCCCCGCAGACCCTCCCGCGGAGCCAAAGTTTCCCGAGTCCCGCACTCTCTCCGGGTCCGCGCCGCGGCTGCGGGGGCCTCCCTGACCCCCACCAGCTGGGCCCCCTCCCGCCCCAGGGGAGCCGGCGCGCACTCGGTACCTCGATGTCCGCCGCGTCCTTGCTCAGCACAGGGGCCATGGCCGCGCCCGCAGTCTGCAGCCGCCTGCACACACACTCTCCGCGCGTCCTCGGGCTCCAGCCAGAGACTGAAGTGCAGGCTCGCCCGAGCGCGAGTGCCACCCGCGAGCCGGGGCGGCGGCGTGGGGCGGGGCGGGCTCCGGAGGCCACACCCGGGGCGGGGCTGCGCGCTCGGCCCGGTACCCCCCGGCCCGGCCCTGCGCCCGCTGCAGGAAATGGAGCCCGACCTCGGGGCGCCCTGCTCGCCTTGCAATCTGCGGCTTGTGTTCCTTCTGCCAGAGGAAGGAAGGGCGCGCGCGAGCGCTCGCTCCAAGCCCTGGCCTTTGCTCTGTAGCGGGGGGAGGCCGAGCTAGGTGGGCGCGGGCCAGAAGGGAGATGCACAGGATGACAGGTAAAAACAGTCGCTCTCTAAGAAGCAAATGAGTCCTTTCTTTGCTTCTGCCTCAACCCCGCGAGGTGCAGAAACATTGTCTTCTGGGCCAGTGCGTTGCTCAGGGATGAGGTAGTAAATGTTCTTCTATTCATCCAACAAATAGACGGCAGGGTTAGGGCTGCCAGCACAATGCAAGGCTCTGGGCTTTTAGGGGTTGACAATCCTCGGGGACCCGGACAAGGGGAGGGCAGCAGGAGGAGGGACCCGCAAGAATTTCTACTGGCAGAAGCGGGAAGTTGCAAGTGCTGTAGGTTGTACTAATTCCAGGTTACATTTTTGCTGGGCAAATCCGTCCTAATGACTATATTTTTAAAATAATTATGCCACAATAGGAAGTGCTTTTGAAGAGTGTTTATTCTAGAGCTTGTTGGAGAAAGGGGAACCATTCCAGAAAATATTTACCTCACCTTTGAGTGTATCTGTGCCCCCGAACTCCCTCCTTTCAAACCCCCACCCCCCCAGTTAATAGATGCCTTGACCTCTCCTATCCCATAACACTTTCTGCTTACTTCTGTTAAGGCTTTTATCACACTTATAATTATCTTGGCTAGATTGTTAGCACATTGGGATGAAGTATTTCCTCTTTATTGTCACCTTTTCTTTAGTTCATGCATTATTGCCCTCCACAAATACTTATTGAGCATTGGTCAGTATGCCAAAGACTGAGGAATAAATAGGACTGAATAAGGCGGTAGGGGGGAGGGGCGGTAGGGGGTGAATTCTATCTTAAGTGATTGAGACTTTTCTGAAAAAGAAAAAAAAAATCAGATTACCTTCCAGAACCTGGAAATTACTAGGGGCTGAAGACATTTTTCTTTTTTTTTTTTTTTTAATAGAGGCATGCTTTATTTATTTGTTTGCTGGTTTGTTTGTTTGTTTTGTTTATACATGCACTGGGTACAGTCAGAAGTGCGGGAGGGTGAGAGAATTCACCAGAGCCAGAGCGGGGAGTAGAGCAGGCAGAAGGACCGAAGTACACTGCTGAGGGGAGCAGCGGGCGGCAGGAGAGGTCTGCGCACCATGTGGGACCCTCCTCCGGTGGCCGGGGAGCAGCCGGGGATCGAACCTGCGGCGCCGCAGAGGCCGCGCGCAGTTTCGCAACCCAGCGCTCAACCGCTGCGCCACCGGGGAGGCCCTGAAGACATTTTTCTTAGATCAGAGAACATTATTAGGGAAAACTGTAAATTTGCATAGGATCTTTGGAATCATCCTTGACTTCTCCTTTCTCAATTCCACATTTTATCCATCCCCAAACTCTCAGGACTCACCCTCCTAAATAGAGCTCATAGTCTTTCTTTCTTCATTTTTCTATCTTTCCTGCATCCACCAAGATCCAACCTACTAGTATTCTTACCCCCTCCTGTCTAGAATGTGTGTTAAAAATTATTAATTGGTTCTCTCTCTCTCTCTCTCTCTCTCTCTCTCTCTATCTCTCATCTCTCTCTCTCTCTCTCTCTCTATATATATATATATACACACACACTGTATATATATACTATATATATATATATATATATATATATATATATATATATATATATATAAGCTGTACCTCCATCTGGAAGCACAGTCAAATATCAGGTGTTCCACATTAATTTTTTGTGGGCTTTAGACAGCTCATCTAATAATATACAAATTTTCCAAAATCCATCTCAACCTGATAGTTTACATTACATGGATGAATATTATTACTATAGTAATAATATATATAATATATATGTAATATATGTGCGGAACATATATATAGTATGTATATAGCAATATGCATGATAGTAATATGCATACTATATATGTGGAATATAATATATACTAGATATACTAGATATACTATAGTATATGCTATATATACTATATTACTATCTATAATAATATGTATATAATCACACATATATAAATCCTTCAATGACTCCCATTGTAGTGAGAATAAAATGCAAACTCTTTAGTGACCTCTGAATAAGGCGTTATACCTCTTTTCCAGCCTCACCTAGAGCCCCTCTTGCCAAAACCCTTTAGGTTCCAGCCATAAAAGAAATCTTCCCATCCTCTAACCACTTTTCTCTCTGTGTACAAGTCCTTCATCTTGGGGCCTCTTCCCATTCTACCTATGCTTTAGGTCTAAAGACTTCTATGGTCTATTTCCACCAACAACAAAATTAGACACACCCTCTCTCTTAACATTCTGTTTTTTATATAGCTTTCTTAAATTCTATTTCCACATTTCTTTAAGTGTGACTTCTTTGTTATCTGTCTTCCATATAGAACATAAGCTGCACTATAAGCAGGCCAGTTTGTGACTTGGTTGTCTACTGGATACTCAGTCCCTAGCCCAGGACTGAAACTTGAGACTGAAAGATCACAGTGAATCCTGAAGTTAGTTTATTTACTAATCAGTTCATTTTAGAAATTTTACTTTTACATAACCATGTGTTCTTCTTAATATTCTACTGATTCCTGCAAAGTAAACCACAATACCTATAAATGACTTTCTAGTGAAAACATGTAGAGATTACTACTTTCTTTTTTATGTATGTTCCTCAATCTCCTTACAAACATACTTCACTTACCCGCCTCCAAAGTCATCTGTATCCTCTTGATGGTGTTACACATACATGCATATACACACATATTTAGAAGAACAGAAATATATATATGCATAATATAAATAATATGATATATGTATATATATATGTATTTTCTGTGATGATTATCCTCCTAAACCACCATAGAGGTTTAATCCCAAATATTCTGTCTTTCCAAAGGTAAGAGCTTCTTCACTGACACTCAATAATCAAATATAAAATTCAAATGCTATTTTACCATCCCCCCCAAACTCAGCAAACAGATGTCTCCTGTTCTGAGGTATTTAATTAAATCATCTAATCACATTGCTCACATGCCACACCTATACTCTGTGATCAGTGATTGAATCTAATAATACATTAAATCCATTGAAATTCCACGTTATACATGGTTGTACCTGTAAATAAACCAAGCTGTTTAACGCTTACTGCAAATGCATTCACACCACACTTTTTAAAAGTTGTAAATTATGATGGCATTTGTCAAGCTGTACCTCCATCTGGAAGCACAGTCAAATATCAGGTGTTCCACATTAATTTTTTGTAGGCTTTAGAGAGATAGCTCATCTAATGTACAAATTTTCCAAAATGCTGCTCATCCTAACAGTTTACATTACATGGATGAATATTATTATTATTATAGTTAGAAGGAAGACTTATGTATCACCTTTGATTTTAGTACCACATATTTAGAAACAATAAAAATTCAGATTTCCATATGCCCTTATTTCCCCCTTTAGTCTAGCATTAAGCAATTTATTTCATCTTGAAAGGTGATTTTCTCCCCCAAAAGTCAGAAGCTTTGATTAATCATGAAATTTATTTTCCCCCATCTGAATTTCTAAGGTCGATTTAACTCCTCTCCAAAGTGAATAAAAATCAGTTGTGTCCATAATAAATATATGCATCAGTTCATATTTTATGGAATAATCTTGATACAATTTATTCAACTGCATATGCCATGGATCCTATGTAAGCACTCACATATATGTGTGTGCTACATATAAGCATATATATTACATAGTACTACAAAACGATAGAAAACACAGAAACCACAAATCTCTCAAAAATTTATTCAATATTTATTGAATGCTCTTGTTTTCAGGTCCTACAGTGAATACTAGTGATATCTCAATGTAAATATATATTGTAGGGTAAGGTGAAAGTATCAGGCTTTTCTGCCCTCCCGCCATCAGGATAGATGACGGAACCCTGTGGTCCCCAATGCATGCCTGATGGCGGGGACCTGGAGTAGGGTGTGGGCATAGGTAGATGGGATTCACCTGGGCTAAGACTGGGCTTTTAAGGGTGGCATCACGCGGACGCCAGCAGAAGCCGAGAAAGAAGCAGGGAGCAGAGAAGCCAAGAGAGAAGCAGAGCCATAAGAGCAGAGAGAATGTGAGAGAAGGCCAGAGAGCCCATAGTGAAGACTTGCTGGGGGCTGGGAGGCCTGCTAGCCTCCCCGCCCCCCAGCACCCCTGCCTGTCATGTACCTGGTAAATCCAAATAAAAGCCTGCAAAAAAGCCACTGAGGGCTCCAGGACTCTGACTCTCCCTTACCCTGTCTGCTGGGATCATAGAAAACCTGCCCTGTGGCCTACCTGTCCTGCCCTTACATATATTTTTTAAACAAAGGGGTCAATTCAAAGTGCAAAGTAAAATTATAAAACTATAAAACTATGATACTATGAAATTATAAAGCTATAAAACTATAACTTTATAAAACTATAAAACTATAGTTAAAACCTATAAAATAATTATGTGTCTGTATATATACATACATCCACTCATGCATATATTGTTCTTATCACTACAAGCTTTAAGCCACTAGCTCAAAATTCAAAAGCACACTATCATGGCATGAATGGAGTTACTGTAACAGTGTAGGGGCAGGAAGACACAGTACAGGATCTCTATTTTTGGAGCAGACGGGTAAAGGAGAGTCCTGGAGACCCACGTGGCTTTTTCATTCAGGGTTTTATTGGGATTTTACCAGGTACAGGGCAGACAGGCCTGGAGGGGTGGAGGGGGGAGTCTGGCAGGCTGCCCAGCCCCCAAGGAATCTTCACTCTGTCCTGGCTCTCC